AAAGGATATACAATAGGGACAAGCAAATCTGTAATTTATAGCATGCAAATGTGTACAATTATTGATAAGTATGTACATATATGGTATTCTTGATATCTTATATATTATTATATACTATATATATAATTATATATAGTAAAAAATCATTACTTAAAGTTATGAACATGAGATCTCGAGATTATTTTTCTGCGATCTTCCTGCAGTCTAGTCAAGTCCTTACAATCTTACAACTCGAAATGGCACTTCAGCTTTAGCACTGAAAGTCTTGGCGTGTTCTTTTGCACTATTCAGTGCAACCCATGGAACTCGTCCAGTGTTGGTGTGAACTGAGTGCGCACTAACTTTTTCCCAATCGAAAACGCTATAAATAATGTAAAAAAGGATTATGAGCCTAAAACAAATCATTTAATATAAATTTCGACTTACATAAGAAAATAAACAATAATATAAAACATACATTTTGAGCAGTATCAGGTCATTCTCAATGCTGACAAAAAATAGATATCATAATATAAAAATTAGGAATTATAAAATTCGTTAACATAATGAATAAATCTTAAGCTATTCAATAAATACGCAATCTGGGCCATGTCCAATTAGATAAAAAAGATTCATAAAAGCGCCGAATATACGTCATCTTGTAAAATATCTTTCTATGATCGTTGAGATCTTAGTTAACGAGAAAAAATAAATGTAGTCAAATATAAAGTAGAGTCATGTAATAAAAGCAATGAAAAGCTTTATGGAACAATCATTCGAAGAAAGTCAAATTATTAAAAGCGTGAACTATGTATCAGCCTTATGCGAATGATCAGCCAATAGTGTTGGTAATCTAAACTTATTGTATTCCAACCCTGGATATAATTATATAGAAATAATGACACAAAAATTAATAGAAAAATTTTTCTTTAAGTTAGTGATTATTTACCATCAGGATCTTTATAAACATTATTCTTTTCTTTAGCTGCTCCCTTTAGAATAAAATAATCTATACAGTGATCCGCAACCCAAACTGTATACGGTCCTTCGACAAAGATCGGAATATCCAGAGGCTGCTTTCGTAATAGTTCCTCCTGCAAACTACTCATCGCGGATACAATCCACGTATTGTCGATGGCATCCTCCACGTCCTTGGTCTTGAACTCTGTGATTTCGGTCTGAACGTCTGCACTGGATATCTTATTCATGGCCAGCTTGGCAAGTACTTTTGGATCCTTGGGCACCGGTGTGGGACAGGGCCATGGATTCAGATTAGCGAACTTGGGCATCCAGTACATCATCCGCCAGAACTTCTTCAACACCAGGGCGTGCATCCCGAACGTGTTCAGCAGCATCTCCTGCATCTCGAAGTCTGGCATCACACAATTGTGCTCCATCTTGCAGAGCAGGTCGATGGCGACGAACTGCTGCTTGGGATAGTGCATAAATATGGTCTGGAAGTAGTTCCGGGGGACAAACTTGCCCTTGGGCAGCACGTCCAGGAGGTTCTTGTACACCGCCAGATCGCGGTTCACGCCGAACTCATCCATGTACTTGAGGGCGACCTGAATGAACTCCACGTGGCCACGTCTCATTTCATTGTTAGTCTTGTACTCGCGCAGGATGTCCAGGTAGGCCGCCCGCTCCTTGCTCTCGGCGTTCGCGAACGCGTGGAGGACGAGGGCCGACGACTTGCTGTCCTTGTCATCTTTTTTGCACCATTGCTGGCTGGTGTGAATAGCGCGGCTCAACGACCGGGTCTCGATCTCGCGCAGCGGTTGCCGCAACAACGCGGTGGCACTCGACGCGAGGATGGTCCGGGTGATCCGCGAGAGCATGTTGATCGACGTATTTCTCTAGCACGTCATCTCTGAGCGATTAATTTGAATTTTACTTAAATTTACTCACACAAAGTTTACGAAAATCTCGCATCTCTACGAGGTTATGATGCGCCACTGATTCTAACCTAGAATTCTCACCTTGGAGTCCTTGGATCACCTAACCTCTCTTTTCATTCTCTTTCGTTTGGCGCTTTGTTTCAATAATTTAACGTCAAGATGGATAACTAACGCGCGTTTCAAGTTTGCTCTTCGAAGATGAACGTTTCCTACATTTTATTCTTTTCTCTTTCTTTGACATTTCATTAGGAATAATTAGAAATTTAATTCATTTTAATTGCAGAAAGTGTAATAAGTACAGTTACAAGGAACATTTGCGGAAAATCTATCGGCCACTTTTCATAAGGTGCGTTCAGAGAGACGCTATTAGCGCTATTTGTGTTATTCTATCCTTGTTTTACGTCTAATAAACAACGAAGATAGAATGACAGAGTAGCGCTATTAGCGTCTCCCCGAACGCACCATTCGAGAAACGTACGATCTCCATGTAAACTAGTGGTGCGTTCGGGGAGACGCTAATAGCGCTACTCTGTCATTCTATCTTCGTTGTTTATTAAACGTAAAACAAGGATAGAATGACACAATAGCGCTAACAGCGTCTCCCCGAACGCACCTTAGGTCGTGATAAAAACGACATGTGGTTTGGTGTTTGGATTATGAAGATTTAACGTTTATTCGATGATATACAATGAGCGAAAACTTGGAGAACATTAATCCAAAGCTCTATAAAAAATTAGATGACCGAGAAATTACAGTCGAGGAGCAAGACGAGGATGTCGCGGATGAGTTTGACGCGCGAGAGATCTTCGGTAAATATATAACCTTAAATTATTGAAATACATCGTGTAATATATGATTCAATTAATACAAATTAATAATAAAAGGGTTGAGAAGAATTACGAACATAAGAAAACAATATCTAAATAATAGATATGATATAATTAATAAGAACTAAACGAATTAAAAATAATACAAACGTCGTTTCGAGCCCGATCGGATCATTCTCAATGATAAACATATAAAAGTAATAAGGATATGCATATTCAAATTATAAACGGTTTAAACTAATAGATAAAAAGAGATGAAAAAAATAAGTACGGACTTCTAGTGGATGTATACTGGTCACTTGATTGCATCCTGTTATTATCAAGCTGATATTAATCTTTTTATATCTTTTTATCTATTAGTTTTACACCGTTTATAATCTAAATATGTATATTCTTATCACTTTTGTATGTTTATCATTGAGAATGACCCGATCAGGCTTGAAACGCTGTTCGTATTATTTTTAATTTGTTTAGTTCTTATTATAATAATTATATCTATTATTTACATATTGTTTTCTTATAATTCACAGCCCTTTTCAACACTTATTATTAATTTAAATTATTAATTTTTAATCCAAAATAAATAAAATTGTTGATATATTTTTGTTCGAGTATAAAATATTTTAATAATTGTTACTAAACATTCATATTTTTATTGATAATTGAAAATTAAGAATGTTATTGTATTTGCTATATAAAAAGATTTATTCTCTTTATAAAGATATAATATACTTAAATATATACATAATAAATTAAATAGTGTTATATACATTCTCTATTATAAGTGCAATATAAAAAGTAATATTGATTACTGACTGTTAATTTACAGATATTATTAGGAACATCAATGATCCGGAACATCCTTTAACTCTGGAAGAACTGAATGTAGTTGAACCGAATCTCATCGAAGTAAAATATTTCTCTAAACAATATGATACCATTGCATTTCGAAATTGCTTAAAACTCGACATTGCAGGTTGACGACAAAAAGAACAGTGTGGACGTAAAATTCACGCCTACGATACCGCATTGCAGCATGGCCACTTTGATCGGTTTATCCATTCGCGTGCAATTGCTACGTGCTTTACCCTCTAGGTTTAAGGTCAGTGTGGAAATTTCACCGGGTACTCACGTCTCGGAGGCGGCAGTGAACAAGCAGCTTGCAGACAAAGAACGAGTAGCTGCGGCTTTAGAAAATTCCATGCTACTTGGCGTGATCAATCAGTGTTTGGCACTGAAAGATTAGCAAGTTGCAAGTTACAAATTCCAAGATTTTTATGTTTACCTTCCATGATTTCCAACGTTTTTTTTAAACTGATTTCTTAGTTCAACTGAATCATTGGTGCCTGATGATGTTTTTCAAAGAGTTTTTGGGCTCTAAAAAAATTGAAAAAATTTTACATCCTTAGCATTCAAGAATACGATTTTATAATAATCCGAAATGTTTTTCATTTTTTTATACGTATCCAAATTTGAGGCAGAATAATTCAAAATTGAAAACTTACCTGAATCTTTTTCTTCAAATTCTCGGTTGAATCACAGAAGGTGGTTAAAGCGACAGTTTGTATATAGTTTTGTTGTCATGTATATATATTGCAAAGTAATTCTCAACTTTTAGTTCGTACCATGAACGTAAAAAGAGTGCTGAAATTCTATAAGAATCGATACAGTATAATTGATGTGAATAACGGATTTTGATTATAAGATTTAATATATATTACATTTATAATATATACTTGATGTAGAAATGTATCAGTAATATTAATGTAAAACAATTCTTCGCTTTAAATTTTTTTGTATTTTATAAGTTTACTATGTATAGTGTACTGTATAAATATAAAAAGCATTAATATAATTAATGAAATTGATACAGATTTTAGAGATCCTAAAGTCGTTCCTGTTTTGTTTTTTACAACGCAATTTTTTTTGACAATGAAATCTTTTTGTTGATTACATAGATAGAATCACGAATCCTTTTTTTACAATTAAAATTTACAATATCATTTGTTATTGATCCCTTAAATTAATTTAAAAAATTAATGCACAAATTTTTATTTTTTATTTAACTATATTTCTGTTATTTTCTCAGTTTTTTAAAGTTTCTAAATTTTTTTACCATCATCTTTAAAAAGATTCATAGAAACGTGGCTTATTGTGCTCCAACACGTGATGACGTCACGTGACTGCTTTGCCGAACATGGCGCCTCTGGTTGTCAAGAGTGCGATGAATTTGTAGGGGTTTTCTGCTATTTTGCGTCTGACATTGACAGTTAACGAGAAGATGCCCGTTGACATTAATCGATTGACGGAGGGATGGCTAGAACTAGAAAGTGATCCAGGTACGTTGTTAACTTTGAAATGTGTCTAGCAATCGTTTGTTAATGAAAATCTGGAGCTTAGAAAGTATTTTATGCTGTAAATTCGCATAACTAGCAGTCAAAACTATAACATTTTCCACGTCTATTCAGGTTTGTTCACGTTGCTCTTGGAAGACTTTGGTGTGAAGGGCGTCCAAGTGGAAGAGATCTATGATCTGCAAAAGTCTCTGGAAGGTCCAGTCTATGGCTTCATCTTCTTGTTTCGATGGATTGAGGAACGACGATCTAGGCGAAAGGTCGTGGAGCAGGATGAAAGCTTTGTCAAGGATGAGGAGATTGTTAACAATATCTTCTTCGCCCAGCAGGTCTAGCACACAGCTTTTATTATGTCAGAGCTTCTACTAGATTGTCAAAAAAGTTCTGATTCATCCTTCGGTTTTTACCTAATTTATTCAAAAACAATAGCTGCGTTCGGAAACGTCGCTCGGATACCTCCAATGCCTCGGATTCATCATCTGTCCTTGTTTAACATTTAATGTTAAAACGCAGCCATTATACCTTAAAATAAAGACCATTCAATAACCATTCAGATCCTCAGATGTGAAGAACTCGTGATAAGCTACCTCAACGTGTTTAATAATTAAAATATACAAACTATAATTTTTATTATTATTATTAAACAATAGCTAACAACATCTTGCTTTTGCTCTGAGCCCCTTAGTTTGTATATTTTAATTTAATTAATCGAGCACTGAATGACTATTTATGTGTTCAATAATCTTTGAGTCATCGTCCAATTCAGTCAAACCCAATATTATGTTTTTTCCACCTGATTAGTGCAGGATCTTTTGTGTATAAAAACTAAAGAGTGATTCAGAACTTTTTTGACAACCCAAAGTGTATATAAAAGGTATATTATCTTTGTAACATAATGTTATGTAATTATCATAGGTTGTCCCCAACAGTTGCGCCACTCACGCGCTGCTCTCAGTGCTGCTGAATTGTCCGAATATCCACCTAGGCACGACTCTGTCACGATTGAAGATGCATACCTCCGGCATGTGCCCAGAAAACAAAGGTTGGGCGATCGGCAATACGCCAGAACTGGCCTGCGCGCACAACTCGCATGCAATGCCCCAAGCGAAGAGACGGCAGGACAAGAACACTGGTGTCTCCACGGGTAGATTCACCGGCGAGGCTTTCCATTTTGTCAGCTATGTACCGATAAATGGTAGGCTGTTTGAGCTGGATGGCTTGAAACCCTATCCCATGGATCACGGACCGTGGAAGGAACATGAAGAATGGACGGAGCAGTTTAGACGCGTCATAACCGATCGTTTAGGCATGGCAACTGGCGAACAGCTGCAAGATATCAGATTCAATCTGATGGCCGTCGTACCCGACAGACGTCTCGCTATTTCGCATAAATTAACGATGCTGAAGACCAACAGACAGATAGTCCTGGAGGCTCTGCAGCAGTTGATGAAATTGAGTCATCAAGATGGCAGCGCCGAGAAGAATTCGCATAAAGAGATTGATCCCGATAAAGAGAAACAGTATGAGAAAAGAAACAAGACCGAGGATGAAAATGGATTGCCTACTAAGACGGAGATCGAAGAATCGCCCACAATTCCCACTATCAACGTTGAAAGAAATAACGATTCATCGGTGGTTATGGATGAATCAGTCTCCGGCATCGCATCTGGGAAAACCGAATCCACGTAAATAACAATCGAGCGTTTCATTCACATAACACGCTGTTATCTCTAGTTTTACCACAATACTTTGTATGAATGATGAAGTTGACAATAGTAAGTAAAAATCGAGGAATGTTCGATACAAATAAACGAGGAAGGCCATATTCTACTAAAGCAGAGATTGATGCTTAATAATATTTTTGTGCGAATCTTACAATTTTTGGTTCAAGTAAACCACACGTTGATTATATTTGTCGGTCTTAAAAATATTATTAAGCACCAATTCACTTTGACCGAATATGGTCTTCGCTTATTTGTATTGATAAAATTTAAGTTGATATCGATTTTTTTGTGCTATAATAATTTCAATTTTTTTTTTTTTGTACTAAATACATAAAACAGAATGCTGAGAAAATGTGAACATAATGCAAATAATTCTAGCGATACAAATAAATCAGCGATTCTAATATTAAATCTGAGAATTGTAATATTCTCACATAATATAGGTATCTATTTTATTTATTTATAATAAGTTCACAAAATTGTTCGGTGCTGCAGTTTCGCTATAAGCGAATTTATGTTCGATTTCAGCGGAATGGAGAAAGTGGTTATGTGCGCTCTGGATTATGCTACGCCATTACGAATTCAAACTTCACCAGCTCACAGCTCTTCGAGTACAGATACATCGTCGGAAATCGGATCGGCTTTCAATTCGCCCACTCAAGGTAAAAGAAAAAGAGAAAAAAACAAGGAGGGAGGGAATGTTACTTCATGACAGTCCGTCGCACAGTCGTCTGGTAGTGCACACCTTCTTGCTTTGGCAAAATATCAAGGCATTTGGGCAGGTCATTCGGATTGATTTGATACCTTCGGAATCCGGCACGCTGTAACAAATGTAGTAATGAGAATCCGAAACGGGATCTTTTATCTTACCAAGTTCTTTACACAATCTCTCCCCGGACTCTCCTTCGTATATTGTACTTTTGTCATTGGCATGAATATTCTCAAAGAATATTTCGTTCACAGGAAGCTTTACGTTGCTGCCGCACGTTTTCACACTCTCGACGTCGCAGATTCGCGAGTACACGTTGAAAGCCGTGTGCAGCGGACAGGAGTACTCCACTACGGTGGCCGTTTTTGGCTCACATGTGTAGTACCGGTAACAATCGGTCTTATTCGGCAGACGGACGTTCCTCGTGCACGTCACGACGCTAATGGTTCGTGGCGTTAATCGATGAGCCATGTTTTTGTACCGGTCGATCGTGAAATACTGTCTGTTCCCGAGATTATCGCTAATCCTTATTATGCTGTTGTCAGAGTCCAGACTGTCGATTAGCAGCTCCAAAGCATTCTCCGTTGAAACGGTGCTGTCCGTCGTCGCAATGGAATTTATCTGAGGTTTATTGCTTTCTATCATCTCAGTCGGTTCATCATTACTGTTAGGTAACTCGTTTCCTTCGGTATAGCTTTGCACGAGATAGTTCAACGATACGTTTTGTCTTCGATTATAAGACGCGAAGATGGTGATGGTCTGCGTTGGATTTACAGTTGTAGAGTCTCTTACAGGTATCGATAAAGAACTTGATATTGCGGCTGATAGCTCCTTGTAGACGTGCAATCGACTCATTAATTTGTTCAGCCATTTGTAATGATTATTTACGATGTCCTTATATTCTTGCACCAGCGACAACGATAGTTGCCCTTGGCTATTCGTGTACTTGTATAGATAATTCTCTTCCCTGTGATACGACGCGTTTCTCACGCTTTTGTCGTTGTGCGTCGTTTTGTCCGATTCTTCAAATTCGATCAAAGGATATGCGGTCATCGTGTCGATCGTTGAGTCGGAAAAGTTGTCGATTACGAAAGACGAGTCAATAGTTTCGGAGAATCCCAATGGATCCTCCGTATATCCTAGATAGCTGGTATCCATTGGATTGATTAGTTCGGATATCTCGTGCTTCTTCGTCACAGGAGAGTCGGTTGAGAGTATATCGCACGTCCAGATATCACCAGGAACAACGCACATCCGTAAATATGGTTGAAATACCTAAAATCGTATTTCAAACACTTGTTACTCTGATGAAAAAAATGCTCGTAATATCTCATAATATTTTTAAGAATTTGTCATATTTTAAATCTAGAAAGATTTTTCTGAAAAATACGTTAAATTTCTTAAGATTTTACAAATTTTCTTCAAAAATTATAGGATGAGAAATAATACATTTTAGAATTCATCTATATAAACAATTTTAGAAAAAAATGTATATTTTCTCAAAATTTCTGAAGTATTTTAATTTGTACAATTTTGAGAAATTTTCTAGAAAGTTATAAAATCATACAGGAATTCTGAAAAGGTCTCTCCGCATTAATTATATGGAAAATTGGCTCAATAGGTAATTTTTAAGCTGTAATGCATCAAAGGCATAAAACTTGTGCTCACAGAATATCTTTGCTACACCATAGCTGTATTAAAAATTTTTTTTTTTTAAATAAAAAAAGGATGCTTTCCAGCAAGAAACACAGTATAATATCGTGAATCATTACATTCTTGTTGTTTACCAATATTAAACAAAGATGAAATAATTAATCAATGTTGGAAAGCGGCAAAGATTATCCATTATTGAACCTTGTGTCTATGACATCTTTCGTTCATCACATATAAGTTACGTTATATGTGAAAACTAATTTATTTCACCGAGACACAATTTTCTATATAATTAGTGAAGATCCTTTATATAAAAATTATGAAAAATTATATAAAGAATTCTATGAAGACAAATTTTTTCGTTAGAGTAACGGCACCATTAGAATTGGGAGGTCTGTTTGTTTTATTTGTTAACGCCAACGTTCTCACCAAGCCTGCGTTACACTTCGATGGGACCCACACGTAACCGCCGCTCGGCAGATTCACGCAATTGTAGAAAATCGTGCAACTCGTTAGGTGCGGCTTCTTCGGTTCCGGACATCTCGAGGGGCTCACCGGACAGATTAGGCTGCACGCGAGGAGGACCGATACGAACCGCATCCCGTACCGCAACTGTTACAGACCGCAATTCGTACTTGCCTGCTTTAAGACACTGTGTACTTTTCACACGCGCACATACAGTCATGCATCTCTGCGAGACGTTTCGTTTCGCACATTCCACGTACAGTTACTTGACCTGTCTGTTACAAATTGCCCATCTGCTAGTTTTTAGTTTAAATAGAATTTTGGAAATGTTTTATACATACAGGAACAAGTATTTTGAGATCATTAGCGTTAACCTAATGACCAGAACGACCAGAAGATTTTTTAAATATCTTCTAGCTTGGGGATGGAATTCTGGTCAAAGCAGCCCCACGTCGACGAAGGACTTCAAGAAGTTTGTGGTAATCAGAGTTGCTGGCGACGAGAAGAACGAAGCGGGTTTGAGTAGGTTGATCAGATTTATATGCGATTCATACAAAATATTCGTCGGTTACCTAATATCGAAATGTTTCGCTTCTACGCAGGCCGTTCTCTGGGGAATATCAATATAAACGGGAAAAGATTGGTTTCCGACAGTGGTCATTTGCACAAGAAGGTCTGTCTATCGGGTGAAGTCAGAATTCCTCACGCGAGGGTGAAAACTAGCAACGGCGACACAGTCACGGAGGAGAAAAAGGTCGAGAAAATCGATCCCAAACTGTGCTCTAAGTATCCAGAATTGTTCGAGCCGCACACGTTCGCGCCCAAGGATCTCTTGGCGTTGCTGAAAAATTTGGAGCACGAGATCAGCGTGTGCGAGACCAGCCTGAAGGACGAAAATGACAAAAGAAACAAGTACAAGGTTGGTCTTATGCGTATGACAAAGCGCTTGCTATTTTTAACGGCAAAGATGCAGCTAATAGCCATGATATTCCGTCCTATTTTTCACGATTATAAATCAATTTATGCCTATAATTAATTGGTAAGCAAAATAAAATCAAGGTTATATATAGTAAAGAAATGAAATATCAAATTTATTTAAAACGATATATAAATGTGATATGTAACATGTGATGTAATAAGTTTCGACTCTACTTACAAAGAATATCTCCTGTTTTGATGAGCTTTTAATATATTGTAGTCTAGACTAAAATAAGGCACGTACTTTTAGGGGGCGAAACATCGATTAGTTTCCTTCAAAGTGTCGTGTCAAAAAATATCATCGAACTATAAAAGATGGAAAAACTTTTTTTTAATAAAAGTTGAGAGTATTTTATGACAAAAAAATTAATTAAAAATCTTTTTCCATCTTAACAACATTAAAAGTTTATCAAAATCGGAGAAAGACACTTTCCTTTGTTAATCATCTTCAGTCATGATAAAACGAAATCGTCGAAAGATTAGACTTACAATAGATTTAATTAATTGGAATATTAATAAATAACAAAATTAATTAAAACATAATAAATACATACATAATTAATTGGTAATATTGTCGAGCGCTTTATTCTCATGAAGCTATAGAAATCGTGTAATTCTTTCAGATCGACGATTGCCGGAGAACGCACAATTACGACGAATTCATTTGCACCTTCCTCTCGATGCTTGCTCAGCAGGGAAAATTAGCGGAGTTGGTCCAGCAACATCTAACATTAAAGAAACACTCTTCCGTTTCGGTGAATAGGGTTCACAGGTATATTTTCACGTCTGATCGACAAATATTCAATTATTTTGAATTCTCATAAAAAATCGATTAAAGTAATTAAATTAATCCGTTATATTAATTTCCTAAGTTAATTACTTTAACTGAAGTCGAATTTCAATGCATTTACAGGTCATCGAAAAAATCGGACACCCGTCAGAACTCCTCACGCAGACGTCGTGGTAGAACAAAATGTAAAAAGCGAAAGTAATCTCTAACTAGTATAGTTTTAGCTTTAGTTTAAAGCTTAGGGCATTCCGTCTGTTAAGAATTATTTGGATTGTTATAACGGGCATCCATGAAACACATGCTATAGAAAGTACTCTTACTCTTGGTAGTTTTACAAAATCACGTAGAGGCCATATATTTATAACAGAGCGATTCTAAATTATACGTGAATACTTCAGAAAGTGAATTTAGAGTCCGAAACAAGAAGAAAAAAATCACGCAAACGTAAAGCGTTTATTCTCAGAGTTAAAATAAATTAAAATATTTAAATATTCTTTCTATATTCATGACTTTTTCTTCTCTCCGACTTCAAATTTACTGTGCGGTATTGACGTTAAGAAACGCGCCCTGTATAATTTTTAAATATTTTTAAATCTTTTCAGAATCAATGACTTATCGCTAGCTCGATATTTCTAGTTTTTTAGCGATGCATTTTTTAGATGATCGTAGGACTGATTTCAACTCGAATGCTATCATTACTTTTTATCACTCTGTACAAACTATTTTACAATGGCGCAAAGTATACATATATATATTTTTTATATTCTTTGTATAATCAACTGTGTGGTATTTAATTGTCTAAAGTAGATATTTATGCTTACTTTTCAGAGGTATATTCTATCTCTCTTTTCTGAATTATATTTCATATAAAATATATATATAACTTATTGTAAACGCATAATGTCATTTCTTCTTTGCCGAATTATTGAAAAGAAGAAAGGGAGGAAGTCAAAGAATCAGGAGAGGGGCTTTGTGTCAAAAACATTGAAAATATTTATTTATCGGTATTCATATACAAGTACACTACACGCGCTGTGGATATGTCCCTTAGAATCTAAATACTTACATCTCCGAGCAGCGCCGGAGAAAGGAGAACCAAGCTTATTCGATTGGTTGGAATTGGCTGGTTTTTTTTTTAATCGTAAATCGGACGACGGGTCATCGATCCTCGCCTCTAAGTCGCTTTACCGTTAGTATAGTGCATAGGAACTGTAGTCGAAACGCGCGCGAAACGATTTCGCGGGGGCACAATTGAATAGAAGTGGAAGAGGGAAGAGGGAGCGGGGCAGAAAGGGGGATAAGAGTGTCGTTTCCTTCTCCGGCCGACGCTCCGGCGGTCCTCGTAACTGCTTTTTGGCAAAAAGGTGCGATTGTATATTTACAAATTGTTTGTAACGTGTCGGCTCTCTCGCGATCGCGTCGCATTATCGTGATCGTTCGAAGCGAGCGAGGCAAAAGTGCGCGAGTAATCGGGATGTATTTCTGTGTGTGTGTATGTGTGTTGTATGTATCTAGATCTATGTATTCTCAAAAACTTGTAGAGTGAACCTCACTCTGAAGAGTGAAATGTCTCACTCTTAAAGATTGACAATTGAGCCACTCTTTTTCAAGACTGGCTCAGTTTTCACCCTTTAGAGTGTGATTCCATTGCGAAGAATTTAGAGAGTGTGTTAAATCCGGAATCGTGTCGAGACCTCGTGGTTGATCGCGGAAATCGCGGGCGCTCGTTAGTTAACAATAGAAGAAAACGTATTTACACGGAGCAGCATCCCCGTATCTCTCGCCGACCGCGGTCGAGAAACGCACATGACTTCGTCGTTACAAACAGGCACTCTCGGTATTTTACAGCGACGCGACTGCGATGTTACTGGCAAACATCGTTCTTTACAGGATATCGGAGTTCAGCGACGACGATTCGGAACGTTTTATTGCTATTTACGGTCGTACCTGAATGCGTCAATCAACGTCGTTGATCTTACGTTTGTACACTTTGTCCGCTCAGTCGAGTCCCTCCTCATAGAAATGTAATACTGGAAGGTGATTAATTACTTATTAAGCACTGAGAACAACGATGCTTTTAATACTCAAAATAAGTAAATAATCATTATCTTTCAGTAGATATTAATTGGATTTCTGTAAAGGCCTCGACCGTCGGCCGCGGAATCTACAAGCATACTGTATAAAATATAGAACATTCACGTCCGGGGAAATAACGGGGGAAAAAAAAATACAGGGGCAAGAAAAAAATAATGACGAGATCCTGTGCGAGAGGGGATTCCGAAACGCCGCCGATCTCCCGGCTTCAGTTTCCTCCTCGTCGTCGTCGCACACTCCGCCGTATAACATAGGCGATTAATGTACAATAAATAGAGATGCCTTTTCGCTATTAAGCGGCCCTTAGGTTGTTGCAGAATGCGATATTGCACAATATTAGCTGCTTTCCATTTACCAAAACTCAAATAATTCTCATTTGTGACGTCATAACTCGGTTGAATGCACGTTCCTTTTCATTCTGTGACAAGTGAGATTCAACCGAGTTTTCATTTACAATCTGCACAAGTTGTATGCTTTACTGAGTCTTGTTAACTCATATTAAAAAAAAAAATAAGGTTTATAAACCTGTGTTGTTATGCGATAACTTCGTCACCAAAGTAAGCAAGTAGTGACACACAACCTTAGACTCAGTATCACTTGTGTGAAAATGGAAAGCAACTATTATTGATCTGTATTGAACCCAAGATTTGTTTTAAATCGTTTAAAGGGGAGACATCAATAATATTAGGCCTGTTCTTTTTAGCCGTTCTTTTGCATGATTCATCTTTTCTCCTTAAGCTCCTTTTTTCTCCAACGTGAAGAGAAATGGAAGAAAGATGAACCGTGGAAAAAGTTGGGCTAAGAAGAACAAGACCATTGCCCAATGACATTCCAAAATAATTGAACAATAATATTAAGCGTCTAAGGGCCGCTTTACGATTGCTCTCGGGTTAACGTTGATTCGCGCCTCTATCGCTCTAGCGTATCACATTGGTAAAAACGTATGGTTGATTGATCGGGGAACAATGATCAGCAAAGTATCGCCAAAGTATCTTTCATCACGTCGCCGACTTCGTTTCATTATCGTCGGATAGGTATCTTACTTTCCTTATTCTCTCCTCGCGTTTTCGGGAAAAATCACACTTTGGTTCCGATCGGTGGACTCGGTGATCCAGGCCGATAACCCGACTTCAATTTCGACCGGTCTCACTGTTACACAATCAATCACTCTCGCACCTACGAATCGGCGACGGCACAATCGAGCACTGCACGCGCGTTACAGCTCGTTTTTCAATGATATCGAAAAATACATTAATTTGAAAAAAATATATATATGCACATAGTATATATATATATATATTTCTTGCAAGTATACGCTATGTAAATATATATTACATACACCTATAGGCTCGCTTAATACTTCAATACGCGCTAAATTCCGCCTTCCGAGAGGACTTTCCGCGGCGATTGTATGTACATATACATCCAAGTTAGCGTTTCTCGTCCGGCGTTTTGTAACACAGATGCATTTTCGTTTTCTTTACATATACATATATACAGACACTCGCCACTACGCCGACCGTAGCGTTTGGATAGCAAAAGTATAAAAAAAAAAGAAGACAACGGATCGCAAAGATCGCGAGAAAATCTGGTGTCGAGAGATACCGAAGAGACGTTGTCTCGCGACTTCTTTGCCTCCGCAAGTCAAGTCCGGATTGACCAGCGTGATTCGAATCTGGCTCGAGGAAACGAAGAAGAACAAAAGGATCTAAGGATCTAAGGACTCGCTTCGTCCAGGTTTCGGCGCGGCTCTCGAGATGCGACGGAAGAGGCAATAAATAAAAAAAAAAAAAGCGAATTCGGAATGAATGTAGCGGTGAACCGAATTTCTGAGGTTTCGAGCAAGGTAGACGTCGCTTCCGAAGGTTCCCGATATTCAACAACAACCGTGTGCAAGATTAATAGCGAAGGTTCGGTCGAGTTTTGGCGAATAAATAAATGAGGATGCGAATTAAAGCTACGCCTCGAAGCTCCACCGCACGAGATCGCCAACGTGATGACGAATAGGAGAAAGATGACGATGATGGTGACACGATGACACGAAGAGAAAATAAAAGGAAGAGAAGGAAGAAGTAAATCCCTGCTTCGTATGCGGGAATGAATCGTATTATGAATATCCGATGGTAGTGAGATAGCCGGTTGCGCGACCAATCATCAATCGGGGGAGAAAACTCGCGTGTAATAACGCTCCGTTTAATTATACAGATCGCGGTGCCTTCGTTCACCTGATCGCGCCGATTACGCTCGGCCCAACTCGTTGCGATACGTCTGCCCGAATCGACAAAGCTCTCTAGTTAACGATAATGGTAATAATAGAAGAACGATTAGCCTACGGGAGTGTTACAACGTAACTTATAGCGCTATAAGGTATCGCATCGGCTTTTAATTCCTAACTCCACTTCGCTTCGGAACCCAAGAGTGCACGAAAACAACAGTTCTACCGAAGGACCTATGAAAGTTTAGCTAAATACATAGATCTGAAAATCATTTTGTTGGACTATTAAAATAATTATGTATACTGAAAAAAAATGTACCAAATTTTAATAAATATTTATCTGAATAGGGCCAACTGAACATTTACTTACAGTAAATAAACATTTAATCAATAAAAAAAAAAGATTATTAAATCAAATGGTTCTTGTACCAAATAAATATATCTTTATATTTAATAAATATTTTGTTGGTGTTATTCAAACAAATGATTTGTAAAAATTTGTAATATTTTTTTTGTGTAGGACAATCAAAATGATTACTAATGCCAATTTTTTTTGCAATATTGCTTATCAAGCTTGAACGTCCAACATAATTATTTTGGTATTTCAAATTATTTATAGATCTGTATTTAACTAAATTTTTAGATGCTCCAATAAAACCGTTCTTTCCGTGTGAAGAACGCCTTTAACCCTTCGACCGGTAGCCGTTGAGTCTACCTAAAGATAGGACTCGCCAAAACGGCGTTTAAACGGTCTCTCGCGTATCACAATAAGTTATAAGTTTCATCGAAGAGGAACCCTCGGAGGTAAAATCTACGGGTTGAAGGATTAAAGCGTTTTCCGTGGATGCAGTGAGACGAGAGCGTCTTGTTGCGTCTTCCAGTTATCGACAACCCTTATGCAACGAGCAGATCAGATAGCGATTGGTAATCGCAAATCATTCACGAGAGACTCGCGAGTATTCTATCTTATTTCAAAGCGACCGCTACGGATCTACTCCCGTTGCACCGGCACCGTGAAAGCTAGCTTCGCACGCTCTTCATCCTTTAAATAATCGCGCGAATTTATAGAATCCTTTACGCTCGATTGCGAATACGATGTCCAGCTCGGTGCGATCAAACTCGACGGTCCAAGGCTCCCTTGTCCTTCCCACGCGTCCTCCAGACGACGGCTCCACGTCCAATTTCCAGGGACTCCGGCATCCGGCCAGGGGAGGAGGACTCGCAGTGACCCGTAGAAGAAGGGAGACCATGTCCTTCACGGTCCGCTGACCGTGGCGGCGGAATGACCCGTCACCAGGCCGTCCGCCGCCGCGCCAGCCGTCGCTGCTGCGACGGGCTTACCAAGGCGGAATATCGATTGCAGAGACGCGACCTCGGACGCGAGACGGTCCAGCTTCATCTTCACCTCCCGATCGCTCTCCGAGACCGTGGTGACGGTCGGACCGGTCCACTCGGCGCCCAACGAGATACCGGAATCGCGCTCGTCGCTGGAACCCTCGTCCCAGGGTGGCGACGCTCGCGGTCCAGGTTCCTGCTTGATGCCCTGAAGTGCGAGCAACGCGCTCGCGGCGTCTTTGTCGCCGATGCGCGACTTGTGCCTGAGTTTGTGGGGCAGACTGTTGTTGGCGGCCGGGTTATTCTGGGAGCCCACAACCATCTGGGGACCGGCCTCGTCACCGCTACCAGACGACAGCTCGAACGGCGACTGTGCCCGGCGGCCGCGCGACGACAAGTTCAGCGCGCTCGTGGTGTCCAGGTGATGCATCGCCGGATGAGAGTACGGGTACTGGAAGCTCTCGGTCTCCGGGTAAGCGGTTGTCTCGGGAACGTAGAGCTGGGCCGGCGATCTGGGTGAACGGGCGCCGCTCACCGGCTGATGGATCACCGACGTGTGCACCGGGCTGGGACTGCGCGCGTAAAGAAGCGACGTCGACGGAGGTATCTTCGCACGCTTCACACTCATCGTGGGCTCCGTGGGCAGCGCGGCCAACACGTGCTCCGTGCTGATGACGGACTCGCCGCAGATACCAAACTTGTCGCGTATCGCCTCCAGCTGCGCCTTGAGGATGTGGTTCTCCTTGCTGAGCTCCATCACCCGTTGCTCCAGGACCATGTCGTTGAAGCGACGCTTCTCACGTGACCGCTTGGCTGCCTCGTTGTTGCGTCTGCGACGGTCCCAGTAGCTGTCATCCTTCTTGTTGTCGGGGATGAACTCGCGCTGCTTACGCTGTGAGAATAGCTCCTTTCGTAGGTCGAAATTGGACGGGAAGTTTTCGGGATGCGTCGTTACCTGCGCCGCATCATGATGATGATGATGATGATGCTGCTGCTGCTGCTCCTGCTGCTGCTGTTGCTGCTGTGGTTGCGGCTGCTGGGCCTGGTGGTGGTGGTGATGGTGCGGTTGGGGCTGCTGCTGCTGCTGCTGCTGCGGCGGTGGTCCTTGCTGTTGCGGTTGGTGCTGATGCTGCTGCTGAATCGCAGACGGGGGTCCACCGTGATGGCCGGGATGCGTGAGGGGCACCGTGAGGGGTCCATGGGCGTCGTGAGGCCCGCCATGGGGTGCACCGTGACCACCACTGTGGGCCATTGTGTGCGTGGCCGGCATGTTGCTGTTCAGACACGCGGTCTCACCATTGATGGGCGATCCACTCTGGCGGGAGACAAACTCTGCCACCATAATTTGTCTTCTTAGTACATCTGGAACGTAAAGGGCAAGTTGATCAGTTAATCGAGCGAGATGGAGATATCGCCGCGCGTGGGAGTTTTAATTCGTGGGTCAACTCGCGTGCGCGACGCCTTTATTAGCACTCTGACATACGTCAGAGAGAGGACTGGTTACGCATCGTTGTGCGTGTCAATTAGAAGAGAGGGCTATCGTTGATCGAAAGGCTTGTTACCAAACTGTCTTGGATTCAAGTTTGAAAATGGAAATTAGGGACTCCGGAAACTTTAAAATCATTCTATCTGCTCCACTTTCTTCCCTTCCAGAAATCTAATGCCAATTTATTACTGAAAAACACAGTAATTTTTTATTTATTAAATTTTTTACTTATTAAAGCACTAAAAGTATCGAACAGCAGTGCTTTTAACATACTTAAAGTAAATATAATGACTTTCTCCTTCAATAGTTCTGTAAAGATTTACATTTCACGTTACTATCGACATACATCTTGATGTTACATTGTTTTTAATGTCGACTGGATTTTCCGCGATTCTAGGAAGCGGGTAATTTTCATTATTTTCAAATTACTTCGAAAATAGACTCTGACTAGATCAGAAGGAAAATTGCTATTCATCGAATCCCTTCTATTTTTTTTTAGTCTTAATAAGACGAAGATCGATTTACGCAACCACTTCTGACGTCGAAGCACGAGAGAGAGAGAGAGAGAGAGAGAGAGAGAGAACAGCCAAAGATAAAGAATTTCGAGAGATCGAGGGACACTCGCACTGCCAACGGACGCACTTCTCTCGTCCAAAGTTGCAAAACAGCCTTGAGCAAGGTCGCGTTCGTCAAGGTCGAAGGTGCCAGTGAACCCGAGTCGTTCGCTTCACCTCCAAACTGTCTTTTAATTAATGAAAAAAAATACCGATGTTCCATAAAACTGGACCTCCTTGATTTTTGCGATCTGCGACGATTTTACGGGAAACTCGAAGAAGTCGATAAAGTTCTGTCGATCAATCAGCCGATTGACGGCTGCTACTTCGAGATTCTTCAAATTTCGGCGACGGGGATACCGTTGGGGATAACCGTGACGTCATATAATTAGGTTGTTACGCATCGTCGATGATTATCGGTTCGCGACGAAGTGAAGTCACGAGGTGGGAACGAGCGCGTCGGCTCGCGCGATCGCGCGTTTATTTTTAACCCGCGATCGTGGATGAAAATACTCCGGTCGGCGCATCGCCTTTGCGTATCGCACGTAACGTAAGCCTTAATCCGAACGGCCGGCGGATGCGCGGAAACGGTTACGCAACCGCGCACGTGCGTTTACCGAGCCGCTCCACGTGTTCGGGGCGTCGCGTCGTCGCAACGGCGGGAAACACGTACGTTTGCCTGACCTTCGATATTTATTGCATAAGTCCCGCTGCGGCACGAAGCCATTAGCGTTAACGTATTAATTACGATTGCGAAGATACACGAGAAAGATGTCTTTTTTTCCTGCGCGTGTCTTTCCTCTCTCTCTCTCAGATTACGAATTGTCGTCGATCGGAAAAATCGCTCCGTGATAAGCTAACTGTACGATTTAGATTTCGCTGAAGTGTCTACAAATTTAGCGAAATACAAATCTGAAGATGTAGGACGCTTAAATTGGTTGCTAGAATGTTTAAACTTTCGACAGCATTATCGTTAAGTTACAGAAAGCGGTACAAAGTAGTATAAATGTTTAAGTTCTACATAATTATTTTCGGATCTATCTACACGAAAAGAACAATTCTGTTGAATATCTAAAAATTTAGCTAGAGATACAAATCTGAAAATAATTTTATTGGACCATCAAAATAATTCTGTAGGAAATTCAAGTCTGATAAGTAACGCTGTAAAGTTTTTGATAGTCCAAAAAATTATTTTGAGATCTAGCTAAATTTTTCTAAAAATAATTTCGTTGAAATCCATTAAAATAATTATGTAGGACGCTTGAACTTGTACTATGTTTTTTGTAGCTTAATAATACTGTTAAAGTTTTAACATTCTAATTATCAATTTAGCGTTACATAATTATTGTCAGATCCGTATTTTGCTAAATTTTTAGATACTTCGGCAAACACGGTTCCTTCCATCCATGTATAAGAAACCCACCTTTAGACGAGACGAGTGCTGTTACGTAAATCGATGTGTTCCACATGCGGAAATATTTTAGTCGTCTCAATAGATACATTGAGTGTCAACAACTCGAGACACTGAATTGTCCGAAAAAGCGATGTCACAACGGAGAAAAAAAACAAGAATTTTATATTTCATCATCTTTAGGAAAGAATCCTGCATGGAGTATAAAAAATCTACCGATTTTCTTGTCTTACAGAAATCTAATGCTGGCGAATTTATTACTGAAGGACAATAACTTATTACTTATTTGGATACTAAAAATATTGAATGGTACTTAATTCAATAAAATTAAAATTCATTAAAATAAGTAATTAATTACTGTCCTCTTCAATATTAAATTGGACAGTCGGACTTTCAGTCGATCTTTCAGTAAGAGTTTATTATATCTTACATTACGACATGTATAATTTTACATAAGCAGATATCTCACAATCAGTCGGACAGTTTTCTATCAGCTTCACAATTCTCTCTATACCGGATTTCTACTCACAATCAGCCACGTATATGCGCGTTACGCTATCAAATCATAGTCGACGCGGGAAATAAGATCTTGGCAGTAAAACGCCGCTCGCGCGCACGTCGTTACGCAACTATTGATGAACTTTAGCTCCCGTAGCAATACAAATGATAAAGCACTTCGCGTGACGGATGTATTAATGACGCGCGTTATGTAAGCCGCTGGCGCGCGCTCATTTCCGCGGAAATCCTCGTCGTAAGACGCGCGCGGCGCGTTAATGAAAGTCGAGCCTCCGGTTGCCGTAGAGAGAGAGAGAGAGAGAGAGAGAGAGAGAGGTTTACTCTCCGCGGAAGATCCGAGACTTGCCAGTGCTCGCGGCGCACTCGCCTTACAGAAATCTAATACCGGCCAATTTAACATGAAAGACAGTAATTGATTACTTGTTTTAACCCTCAACTACGAAAACCACGTCTCGTAAGTTCTAAACCTTGTCTTGTTTGAAATATAGAATGCAAATGGCTTCCGCCTTACGGCCACTGATAGAGGAAAGTTCAAAGTTTTTTCATCTACAATTCTGAATGTCGTAAGGTAAATGTATCAGTAGCCGGACGTTTAAGCGTTAGGTTCTCATAAACAATACAATTTATAATATCAAAAAGGTTTTTAATACTTATAAATATTTGTATTCATTTGAAAACTCAAGACTCCCTTAAGCAAGGAAAAATTATTTGAACCCACTTATAACAATTATTATTTAAATAAATAATAGAATGCGTCAATGTACCAATGGCCGGACAAGCTGGTCGGACACTGAGACGTAATTGTTTCAGTGTCTGACCACAATTGGAAAATTAATATGCTGACGGAAAATAATAATATAAATAGATGTTTAATGACAAAAGACAATTAATTCAAATTGATCTTTAAGGTAAAAAAAAGCATTTGAGATTAATATTAATATAAATAAATAAAGTTTTGTGTAACTGTCCGATCCCAGTGACTGGATATGTCCATTTACATAATTTAATTGTAATCTTTAAATGCAATTAAATTATAATACCGTAATAAAAAAAGCATTTGAGATTAATAATAATAAATTTTGTGTAAGTATTCGGACACTGGGACGTTTACCTTAGTACCTCATTGAACTAATCGTCCAAAAATTTTCGCTTCGAGTCAAAATGATGAATAATAGTTGTAATCGGGGTTAATTATATTAAAAGCATGGATGTTCAGTGCTTCTAATATTCCAAATAAATAATTAATTACTGTATAATTTTGCTAAAATATCTAAGAATTTAGATAGATATAAAAATAAATTTTGTTGAACTATTAAAATAATTAGGATACTCAAACTTCCTAAAGGAATGAAATTTGTTGAAGATTAAAGACTCTTTCAAGGATATCTCTACCTTCAAAATCCTAAAGATCATCCTAAAGATCCATCCAGTTTCTACGTCCTAAGGACGTTTCCAGAACGTCTCTTGGATAAAATAAAACAACCGCGAGCAAACAATCCGACGTCGCCACGACTTCGATGAATTTACTGACCGATAGAACGAAATGTGCGGAGATCATCTCGAAGACTTGAGACGACACGATAAAGATTTCTAGAATCCTGATATGGAAATCGGACAACTCACACCGGCGTGATGCGCGTTATTTAATACGGCGTTATGCAACTCGTCTGTTTTTTATTTTTTTTTTAGGAGTTCGGGAGTGACTCATTAATTCCGCGACTCTATCGCTCAACTTTACGTCGAATAATTCGTGCTCGCGAAACACGAGGAGGAACAGCAATAAACACCGCATTATGCGTCACGTCGCGGGGAAATAGAACAGTTAAGGAAATAATTCGGAATCTTTTCGAGATGACGGTGCATTATGTTTATATTTCGCGTTTTCTGTGAAACAAGAAGTTTCGATTATCGTATCATTTTTGGCAGAGTCACGCTATGCGTCACGTTGCGGGGAAATAGAACAGTCGAGGATGTAATTCGGAATCTTCAAGGTAATGATGTATCATTTTTATATTTCGCGTTTTCCGCGAATCGTTCCGATTATCCTGGTCGACAAGTGATTTTGTTAAATGGGAAATTTTAGTTGGTTCTCATATAAGTATATTTTTTATGCTGACTCAAACTGAGAATAGAATTTATCCTAAGATTTCAATTTTTTGTAATCGACACATTTTTTTTAAATTATTGTACAATAAATTAATTCTTTTAAAGAATAATAACAAATTTCAACATTTTGCTAACAACAGCTCGTTGTGTATGAAAATCATGTTAAATTCAGTAGCTATTCTCTATCATTTATGTCTAAGCATAAAAGATAAATAGAGGAATTCTTTAATGCGTATTCAAAACTCTATTCTCCTCATTTTGGCAAACAGAACGAGAAGTCGCGAAAAAT